GTATGCGTAACACATATCCTGACCATCTCTCTCAATCGATGTAGTAGCAGTTTCACAACCACCTCGTCGATTGATTTCCCCTCCTTACCTACACCTACCTAGCACTCGACCACCGATGACTAGCCTAACCTCAATATTGCTTACTTTATTACACCACCTAACACACACGGGATGTAGAACGCAGACACCTATGATCAAAGACAGGTAGCTAGCTAGGTTTTCCATGACTTCCATTCTCTCTCTCCTCTCTGCACTGGCCATATCTCAGTCACAGCCATAAAGGAGGACAGAGCGGACTGCTGAGCAGCACTCATCTTCTTTAGTCGGTAACCGACCGGATATCTTGTTTACTAAAACCAGAGATGGCGTATGTTAACATATATATCAAACGAGCCTTCTCTATCCTTGCTGAGATGCCTAAATGCATTTACTTCAGTGAAGTCTTTTTCAGGGGCCTATCGCTTGTAGTTTGCATGTATTTTTTTAACTTCAAGCTGTGTACCAATAATCATAGGCTGCATAGATTAGTGTCATATTGTGGTCTAGCTACCCATTACATTATTCCAATATCAAGACTTCAGCAGTTAGGATTAGCTAGCTGGTGACTGTAAGTAAACGGTATGTTGCCAGAATAAATGTATCTAGATCCTAGTGCACTCATAATCCTGTCTTTTGAATCACTTAGCAACATGCTGTTTTTATTTGAATCATACGCGTAAAATAAGTGGTAGTGTAATGGTAGAAGACAAGAGACATCTGGTCAAGGAATGTTTTTGTTTGGGGGGGGGATTTGGTATCTCTATACACCTTATCTTCAAACCACCATTTTGCACAGATCGTCCGTGTTGTGCCACTTCTGGTTTTCATATTGTGTTTCTTTGTGGTTCCTTACACGTCTCTCATGTACCTCCGCAATGCTGAATCATTTGCTTTCTTTGACAGCAAATCTATCTCCCTGTTATTTGATGTTTTTATGACAAATATTTATGCTACTGATAAATCTTATCAGTAGTACACACCATAGTAGTATGAAGCATTTTTTCCCCACTCCTTTGTGTTCGAAGTGAAACATAGGGCTTCAAGCTCTGACACTTGAAGTGTCAGTAGTGTTGTTGTTTTTGTTGATGTTTTTACAGGATGGAGTTGCTATCTTCACACACTCAACTTTCCCTCCTTATCGCACTTACTGTCGAATAAGTTAAGTTTTACGAATACGTAAGTCGGGAATCAAATCCAGACCACGTGCTCGTGGTTGGCGAGCATTCGGCTATTGAACCACTGACTCATATAAACAGAGTTAACAGCTGGATGATAGTAGTACTGGACAGCTGGTGTTACGTCATAGAGTACACTTCTTTAGCAGTACACTTCCATAACCTCACTTGTAGGATTTGAGATCAGCTGGTTGACCATGCATCCACTAGGTCATGATGCGACTGCCTACCTGAAATCGGAATGGAGAAAGGTTGTTGTTCCCTTGGGTTCCTAGTGGAAGATAGGGCTTCAACTGCACGTCTCCACTTGCTTCTGTCTTCTGTCGTACTTTTCACCTGCATCCATGTTAGTCCATACTGTTTCAGCTCCTCTTCACACGACCTCCTCCATGTCACCCTTGCACTGACGTCCCACTTGCCGCTACCCTTTCGGGTTCCACTCGAGCACTGGCCTGACGCGCGATTTCACCCAGCGGCCTCCTCAGCGAGTGTCCATTCCATCTCCACTTTCTCCTGCATATTTTTGGGCGACTGGTTCTTGTTGGTGATTCTTTCAGGCTATCTGATCTTCAGTAGTATAGAGCGAAGACAGTTGTTGATAAAGGTCTGCAACAGGCTGTTGGAAATATTCTTTGTGACCCGCCAAGTTTCTGATCCGTATAGAAGAACTGACTGACTTGACGTTTGTATTGGAAATCCGAATTTTGTTGTTGATTCTGAGTGACGAAGATTTCCAGATTGGTTTCAGGTTGATGAATGTGTTTAATGGAGAAAGGAATGAATCCAATTACTAACATTTACTAAATAACTCGTTTTTACTTCACTAAACACTACTAATGCATGTAAAATTCCAGTTAATTTTATTAATGAAGCTTCATTTCAAGCAAAATGTGAACAGAAATTTCCAGCGTATGTAGTTCCAAAAAATGTTCTCTTCATACAGGATTTACATGTAGGGTAAACACTCTTCAGTGTTTTTTGTGACGTAGTGTTGTTGCATATGAAGAGAGAACTAATTCTGTAGATTTCTAATTCATTTCCTTCAAGAATCGCACAGCGTTTTGTTGAAAACTAACTAAATATGTACGCTAATTCATTTGCTATAACTGCTTGATTAAAACAATAAGGAAGTCCAGGGTTCGAATCCCTGTGGTGAGTGCGTGCTGCTGAAGAGTCAGACCCAAACTAGGCTGACGAAATAGCTGTCTGGCAGTACTCCCAAGTTTTCCAATAGTTTTCTAATCGATGTCAGTTCATGATAAGATCCTGAAATGTAAGTAGAGTTTATTCATATCATTGGATAGAAATTTTGCTTGCCCACTGGTTCAAACAGGCCACCGTGTTGTGTGGTCAGTAAATATTTTTGTCTCAATTGTCGTTAACACTTACTAACCCTTAATTAATCTGCATAAAAGGTGTTGTCATCTTTTTGTAAACCCTTCAATTTTATTTAATAACTTTCTTTTGTTCTGAGTTATTAAGAAAGAAACAATCATAAAGAACAGTACTCGGCGCAAGCTTCCCTCCCTCGCCATCCACTTTGTTTTCAAAAGAATCGCAGATCATCCTTTACCTGACTGTATTTGATTCGGTTGTATTTCTTTGGCTTAACCATTCAATTTCTAGCTAATGACTCCCGGGTTCGAATCCTGCTCCACCTAATTTAGTCTAGGCAACTGGTTAGCCCATCACCAAATCTGTGTGGCTTATAACCACTCGCTACCAAGTTGTAGATGAGAGATCAAAGTTATCACCACTCAACTTCATTGATGCTGTTTTTTTTGTCCTCGAAACTATCTGACTTAACTGTAAAGTTTTGCCCTTATAGACAATATTAAAATCATCCATCTTAGCCACAAGTTCCTTCCATCCTTTCAATGCGTCGAATCAGCATTATATAATACTTCAATGAGTAGTTTTATTCTTTCACGTTCCTAGTGGAACATAGGGCTTCAAGCTAGAGCTTTGGAGTTTTTCTGGCAGTGGTGTTTATTTCTACGGGATGGGGTTGCTAGCCTCATGCCCAACCTTCCCTGTTCACCGGTCTTATTACCGGCTTAACGAGATTTAGATGTGCGTGTCAGCCTAGAATCGAACCCCGGCCCACCACGTAAGGCGTGGTTGGCAAGCGTTCTATTGCTGTATCACTGACGTACGAATAAGATTGCTAATAATAATGCCTTCAAGTCTCCATTGACCCCTCTGTTGTGATGCTGTGGAAACCCGGCAGACTATTCTCATTTTGTGAAAGAGATTGAAATTATGCTAAGTGGCTACGGACTTAATGATGATATGAAGTTGATGTACTTATCGAGATATCTCATTGGTGCAGCGCTCAAGGGCAATCCAATGCTGTAAATTCCTGCACCCAAACGAAAGATACACCAAATGTTACGTCAAAGGTTTGGGAGGCCATTTATGATATCCACTAGTGTGTATTTGAGACCGTTAAGGGTAATGGTACGCAGCTAAACGACGACTCTGAAGAACTCGCTGAGATTTTGGATAGTTTAATGATGTACAGAAATACCCTCGTTTCTCTCAATTGTATGGATGAATTGAACTCGAGTTCTATTCTTGAGGCAATCGCTAAGAGATTAACCCGTTCTCTTACAAAGAAAGTTCATAAAAATCAGCTTCAGTTTAGAAGAGGATGGTTTTGGAGCCAGGGTTCGATGATATTTTGAGACTGGTGAAATACAGTGTCAGCCTAGCAATGAGCAAGTTTGCCAGTATATTGCATCCCATCCCCCTGGAATAGAAAAGTCACAGAGCAAAACGCAATCATTTATAATGAAGGGCTCTCAGACAAGTGGATATAGATAGAGAAAGCTGTATGGTGTCTAGCAATTCATTCAAACTTTATGAGTGTGGCAACTTTCGTGGTTTGTCCCCAACAGATAGGTTACAAGCAGAGACAAAAATGGTTGTTATTCAAGTGTTGGTTTGTAGGGATTTGATTGATTCGTTAAAGGATTTCATCATGAGTTGACATTAGTTAGAGAGCCATTGGAAAACTTGGGAGTGCTAGACAGCTGTTTCGTCAGCCTAGTTTGGGACTGACTCTTCAGCAGTACGCACTAACCAGGCCTCGAACCCATGACCTTCTGGTTACAAGGCGAGTTCGTATGCTATTCAGCCACTGGACCCGATCCAATGGCCTATGAATTCTAACCTCTGCCAATTCACGACATAGTGCGACCCCTAGCCAATGTCTTCGGCGAGTATTTGTCCTCACACGCGACCTGCTGCACCCTACGCACCGGTTGGTGCGTACTGATGAAAAGCTCCGAACTAGGACGGAACATCTATCCAGTACTCTTAGGTTTTCCAATTGTTCTCTAACTGATGTCAGCTCATGATGAAATCTTGTCAAAATGGTTGTGTTTTATCTGTTTGAAAGAAAGGCATACAAAAGCGAACTGTAAAGCAGTGGGCAACGTTAGTGGTAAGCTGAATGTATTAGTCAGCGTCATCAAATTTCGACTTACGATGATGGTGATGTTGGCGTAGTAAAGAAGCCTGTTGTAATTACTCTGATTTAGTAATTGTACAGTAATCCTGTTTTATTATTTTTTTATGTCAATTTAAGTTCTGATGTATTGTGCCTGTAAACTCCATACATATTTTTTGTATGAGGAGGGTTGTGGTGGTGGGAGGGGCATGAAGAAATCATTTTTTTTAAGTTACTATTATATTTCATTACCTCTGTGGGCTTCCGTTTTATTCTGTTCCCTTCCAAATTTATTCTTCTTTTTTTTGACCATCTATGTACACAACATTAAGAAGTACAACGTGTTGATCGTGAACGATTTCGTCAACAACAACAAGGTCATTTAATGAATGATCATCCAGGGTAAGTTTGCCTGGTTAAACAAATTTTTATGTCGTATTTTTTGTTCAAGTGTTGGTTTGTAGGGATTTCACTGGTTACAGGATTTCATTATGAGGTGACATTAGTTAGAGAACCATTGGAAAACTAGCTGGGAGTACTGGACAGCTGTTTCGTCAGCCTAGTTTGGGACTCTTCATCAGTACGCACCCACCGGGATTCGAACCCAGGACCTTCTGGTTACAAGGCTAGCGAGCTCGTATACCACAATTCATGGGCCATTGGATCGGGTCCCAGTGGCTTAATGGTATACGAGCTCGCTAGCCTTTTAACCAGAAGGTCCTGGATTCGAATCCTGGTGGGTGCGTACTGATGAAGAGTCCCTAACTAGGCTGACGAAACAGCTGTCCATTACTCCCAGGTTTTCCAATGGTTCTCTAACTAATGTCACCTCATGATGAAATTTTGTATTTTTTGTTGTTAGTTATGATAGTGAATTGTCTAGTTCTAAGTGTATCCTGAATGGTGTTCGTCTAATGTTGTTGTGAGATGACCGTTATTAGTACAATTGGTAATTGCGCTAACGAATTTCCGCAACCTATTGGATTGGCGAGCTTTATCGTTCTAACCTAACCAAGATTCATGGAAAATTTTTCCATTGGGACATGTAGAAAATCAAAACAAGTAATTCAGTGAAGAGATACTTTTCAACAACGAATTTATTATCAGGTTGTACGATTGTGTATTGATGGGTTTTTTTTAAGAAATTATATCCCGTGAGGGAATTGAATCATAGGTGTGAATACATGAAACAATAATAATAATAGTATGAAATGCATTGATATAAGAATAAAACTTGTGCACTGTGGTAGAGTACAATTCCCATTGTGGGTAAAATTTATTTTGATTAAATTTCACAGTGTTACATAGTAATATTTACTAATGATGACTATGGTTCGAACACAATTTATTACTGCTCATAATCATATCAAGGCATTACTCACACAACTTTCTAACTTCGTTTATATAATTCCATTATTTTTCATGGCGTGACTTGATTGGTAGTAATATTTTCTGTATTTCCGGTATGAGTGACGAATCATTGCATCCTATTGCACGTGTTGAGTGTAGATTGGATGAACAAAGATTCCGTAATCAAACCCTCTCTTTGTCTTTCTACCTACCTACCTATATTACTTTTCAGAAATTTAACCTCCCACCCTATTTTTTGGTCTGTGTTAATGCATGCATGCAGTACCATTGCTGACCTTTTTTTTAATCACTTATCTTCATCGGATCAATTATTCTAACCTTCGATAAATTCTTATGTTTTGATAATCTCACTACTCCTGATCTACTAGTTTGATTGACCTATATAGTTGACCTAACTCACAGTCATTGCAAGGTATTTTGTAAATTATATTATTTTGTCTAATTGGGTCAACGGACAGGTTCCTTTAACCTACAGAACTTGTTCTACCTGAGTCAGTTTGTAGGCTTGATTGCCACCACCCTCTGCCTGCTTTATTACGAATCCTACGTAGGGGAAGGTTTCAGACGTCCCCTTCTTATATAGTACAACTGTAGATGCCTTGTATTCTCTCTTTATTATGTTATCATTATTAGTTTCCCCATTAATTTTATTTCGCTTTAGACCTTTTCTGATCTTTCTATTGATTCATTCTATCTATTTCATTTCATCACTTAAGTTTTTTTGTTTTGTGCTTAGTGCTACTACTCGGTTTGTTAAACAGACACTTAACTAAGGCTGCCTTCACAGACAGATAATGGATGAGATGAATTCAAGTCTAAATATCTATTGGCAGAATACGTTTGCTTTTTATAAACACTAGTCTGGAAAATACAACTACCAATATCAAGTTTAACGATGGAAAATAATAGAAACCATATAAACGAAGTTAGAAAGTTGTTTTAGTACCTTGACATGATTATGAGCAGTGATAAATTGTGTTCGAAACGTGGTCATCAGAGTAAATATTACTATATAACACTGTGAGACTTTATCAAAATAAATTTTACCCACAATGGAAGTATGAAGTGCATTTAAAAGGTGTTGGATTTAAATCATAGTTGAATGTCAAATGGTAAAACTAATTAATGTCCTTGATATAGAACAGTTCATAAGATGGATAGATGTTGGAAGGGCTGTAAAATTAGAATAAAAATTAAAATGTCAAGTAACATTGTGTGAAGTTTGATAACATAGAATTTAACGTTGTGCAGCTTGATAATAAATTCCTTGAAAAGATTCTCTTCGCTGAATCACTCGTTTTGATTTCCTAATATCAATATTAGGAACAAAAACAGAGACACGATACCACCGGGAACTCAGCACTGGAAGACAAAATAGGGGAAACTGATTGTTTACGTGCAAAGCCTTCACTGTGTCGTATCAATAGCGAAAGCGGTTGACTGCGCTTGTACATGTATATACATATATATGCGAAAATATTCATGCGGACATCTATAAAAAACAAAAAAATTCAGCAAAGAATATCCTTTTCGATAATTTCCTCCTCTGGATCTACAATTATATATACGCCTATATACATAGAATATTCTAGAATAGTAGTCAATAACTATATTAGTGTTTTTTGTCTAAATAATATCGGTTTGTTAAGTAAGATCAATGGAATTTCAGTTCATTAACGATGCACAAGGGATAATAATAGGCATTAAACTGTAATAGAAACACATTCATCAACCTGAAACCAATCTGGAAATCTTCGTCACTCAGCAACACTCAACAACAAAATTCGGATTTTCAATACAAACGTCAAGTCAGTCAGTTCTTCTATACGGATCAGAAACTTGGCCAGTGTGTCACAAAGAATATTTCCAACAGCCTGTTGCAGACCTTTATCAACAACTGACTTCGCTCTATACTGAAGATCAGATGGCCGCCGGAAAGAACCACCAACAAGAAGCTATGGGAAGAAAAAAAACAAGAACCAATCGCTCAACAAATATGCAGGAGAAAGTGGAGATGGATTGGACACTCACTGAGGAGGCCACTGGGTGACATCGCGCGTCAGGCCATAGCTCGAGTGGAACCCTAAAGGGAAGTGGCGAGTGGGACGTCCAAGGGTGACATGGAGGAGATCGTGTGAAGAAGAGTTGAAACAGTATTGACTAACATGTATGCAGGTGAAAAGTACAGCAGAATACAGAAACAAGTGGAAATGTGCAGTTGAAGCCCTATGTTCCACTAGGAACTCAAGGGAGCAATAATAATAAAATGTAATAGCAAATAGAATAGCAACTAAAATTAAGGAAATTTCTACAAAAAAAGTGAGGATCATTCGAACCTAGATGGCCAAGGTAAGGACAATATCTGGACATATAAGTTAGGCTTCCTAATGTGCATCCCAACGACCAGACTCAACAATATTTAGTAAACGACCTCTTAAGGTGAAGTTAAGATTTGTTGGTTTACGGTAAATGACTTTGTAAGCCTCCTCGTTGACATCACTGTTGTGTTCTGTATCCACGAGATGAGATAGAATAGCGCTTTGTGAATAGATTTTCTTTGTCCTTTACTTAACCACTATGCAGGGTGGTGTTCGGAAATCCGACGAGAAACACGTCTAATTGTACGGCCTATGGATGCAACTGGCTCACTCCAAAGGAACAGTCATACTGATAGATGTACGTAGAAGAGGTGAAATTAGGCAGTTTATCTTTTTTACTCCCGAACGCAAAATAGGGTTGGTTTTGAAGACACAGTGTAATTCATCAGCAGGGAATGCTCTTTTTACCGCCTCATTCCTAAGGCGTTGTGTTAGTATCTCGTTGATGTTATCCCCGAGGAACTGAATTTGTAAGAATAAGGCCTTCTTAGGAACTATTGGTACCTTAGGCTGACTTGATTTTAGATTCATATTCTTATCCATAAACTTTTCTGCATAACCGTTTTCAAATAATAGAGAAGATTTGTAGCTCAGGTGGATGATTTGCAATTAATAGTGTTCTCTGAGCTGGTTGGTTTAGTTGCGAAGCTTTCGTCGTCCTTTTGGACAACATCTTCAGCGCCATATTTAGCACAACCGTCTTCACTCACCAACCGTTTAATATTATTAAGTTTTTCATCAAGGTATTTATCCGAGCTTTAAATAACCTTGGGGGCACTAATTACATTAGTGAGTTAAAACAGTCAACAACCATTAGGATATCAAGGTCATAAGTAGGCTGAGGAGAAATTAAGCCTGTAGATCAATAAGTGGTGTGAGAGAATTACAACCAGACATGTATAAAATTATTATAAATATCAAGTCGTTGACTCGACATCAATTATTTTTCTTTTTTATAAAAGTTGATGTCTGAAATGAAAAGTGATAGCCGGTAGGATATTTCATTCGTGTATTTTAAAAAATGAAAAAAAAAAACATAATCTCACATTATTTTTCAAGAGTTGATCTTTAGGGATTTGATTTATTTTTCATGTTTTACCAAAAGAAAAAAATCACGAGTTGGTGATAGGAGTATAAATTCATGAGCTAGCCATTGAAGAGCCGAGTCCCAGTGACTGAATGGTCTGCAAACTTGGTAGCCTTGTAACCGGAAGGTAATCCCTGGATTCGAAACCCTATCAGCGGGTGCGTACTGATGAAGAGTCAGTCCCAAGCTAGGCTGACGAAACAGCTAGCTAGCTGTCCTCCAATACTCCAATGCTGGTTTTCAATGATTCTCTAACTGATATCAATCCGTAGTCAAAATTGAATAAGAAACAGTCTATGTTAAATAAAACAGATTGAATTCAATTTGAAATTTTTTTTCGAACTCAAGAATGACGAATATTATTTTGAAATGTGAACAAACACCTGTCTGTTGAATTCTGTATAACTTTGTAGGGAAAAATTTTAAAAGTTAGCTGTTTTACTAAATTTAAGACTTGTTTTTCCTAGAAGTTAATTAGTGGATGGTGACTAGCAGTGGAATCCAGGATGCGCATTTCATCCTGTTTGGGACTTGTCATCTGGATGCACCTGCATTCCCCAGTGAGTCAGTGATGATGTTCCCATGGAGGCTCGAACCCAATGCCCATTGTTTCAAACACCAAAGCGTTATTCACTAGACCACTCGGGCCACGAGAGCCACTGCCTGTTGTGCAACGGGTCATGTTAATTATTTAATTCAATTTTAGATTTTCCCGTCAATTGATTGGATTGAAGTGCTCGGTCTCAGGTTGACATGTCGGCTTCTTGTGCAGATGCTTTGACGATGTCTGGGCATTTAATTAGTATTTAATTGGTGGATGGTGTCTAGCAGTGGAGTAATCCAGGATAACGCGCATTTCGTCCTATTTGGGACTCGTCAACTGGATGTTATGCTTAGTTGTGAAACTACATTTTAGTGATTATGTTTCTACTTCAAACCCAAACATGCATGTACATTCACAGTTTGTTGTCCTACTCATCACCAAAGAGAAACAATATCATGGTATGCGTTCAGACAACTAACTGACTGGTTTCAACGTAGAACTTTGAACAGACGTGCACCCGTTTCACTTGCCACACAGCCCTCTTTGTAGCACACAGAACAAGAGAAGGGAGTAAGAGAGATTCAAAAGAGAGAAAGATAATAAACAGAGAAAGAATTATAAATCACATCTGCGCCAGCTATTGACAACGGTTTTTGAGCCATACCATCAATTGTCTCCACCTCCAGCCATTGGTTTTACCGTCCCGAGGACCCCAACCAAATTGCCAGGCAGTCTACACTTCCCTAAGTGACTACTGGCTGGCTTAAACTAACTCTGTTGTGGATTTCATTGACTTATGAAGCCATGTTTTGTCTTCACACCTCTAGCTAACTCTTTTCCAACCTCATCAATCATGGTAAGTCAGTCAGCTACCATTATTCGTCCTCGATGAAGTCGATCGATGCTTACACAGTGGTATGGGTAACACATGTTCTAACCATCTCTCCTAATCCATGTAGTAGTAGCTTCACAACCATCTCGTCGATTGATTTCCCTTCTTACCTACCATCAGTCGACGACCTATGCTGACGTCAATACTGCTCACCCTACTATACCACCACCTAACGTGGGAGATATAACACAGACAACTATGATCAAAGACAACTAGGCAGGTTTTTCATATCTTCCACTCTCAGTGGCCATGTCTCACTCACAGCCATAGAGGAGGATGGAGAGAAAAGCTATAGAGAGCATTACACACGTCCAGAAAAAGTATAGTTTGGTAAATTTAGTACTTACAAATTACTAATATAAACACAGCCTACATGTAAAGTTCAAAGTTCATTGTGCCTTATTGAATCCTTCAGTAATATAGAAAGATTGCAGCTCTGTCACCGCCGTATTCGTCTTTCAACTGGGGACTTTTGTTTTACCCGCGTGAATTGCTTTCGTTGTCCTTATAGACAATAATTTCAGCACAGGTTTTAGTATGCAGAAACAATTATATCATTCATGGAGAATTAAATGAGTTTATTCCATACTAAAACCTTCTCTAAAGATGTTGTCTACAAGGGGGGGGGGGACGAAAGCTTCGCAATTAAATCACTCACCTCCTCAGAGAACACAACTACGTCAAAATCATCCATCTGAGCTACAAATTTTCTTTATGTAGTCAACAGATTTGACAATTTTGTTAACCTGTTCAATCCGATTTGAGGTAAAATTGATTATAATCTTTTTGTTTTGTTTTTGTTTCTTCTCCTTTGCACTGTCCAGATCACAGATAAGCAATATCAGTAGGATTGTTCGAAATCCTGCATCGTATCTTACAAATACTACCAATGTTCAAAGAAGAGGTATACCAGATATGGGACCACTTCCAGATGTAACTGCTGGTACAACTGTAACTGATGCACGATATCGTCAAGGCACAGATGACAGTCATAATAACACGTGTGAAATTCCTTCGAATATGGGAAATAATAATAATAGCAATAATAAATTAGTAGACAGATATCATCATCCGGTAAGTGGGTAAACAATATTTTCATTTAACGACCACAGTTAATTTTTAAATGCCACGGCGAATACTCACTATCTCACTGTGTGCATGCTATAGCCATCGATGGTTACGCATGGGTAACACATGTTCTTACCGTCTCAATCGATGCAGCTGCTTCACAACCTTCATCGATTGATTTCCCCTTCCACCTACCTACCGCTCGATCGAGGCCTCACCTCAATATTTCTCATCCTATTAAACCATCGAACATGGGAGATAGAACACAGGCACCTATAATCAAAGACAGCTAGCCTTCCACTTCCAATGGTCATGTCTCACAGCCAGCCATGAAGGTGGACGAAAACAACTGCTGTGCAGTATACGCCTTCTCTGACTAACAGCCGGAAAGGTATTAATTATTACGTGAAATAGAATCCTCATTACACTTTTCAGTTTTCATAGTATTTCTGATTAAAGCTTAGCCTTGATTTCTAATAATTTTGTGTTTTTCAAACAATTAGTTCCCTTTATGAATTTAGACAAGGCGATAAGTAGGCCTAATTTGTCTGAATCGTGTAATGTTGCGTGTGCACAACACTTATTTCAAACAATCTGATCACACTCCACGGAGTTGTCATAGGAATATATATACAAAATTAATAAATAGTTAAGAGGTGAGAAAATAAACTGTTTAGGTCAAGTTAAAAGAACATATTCAAGGTCAAAATAACAATGAATATCACTAAACCAAAGGAGGTAGGTAATAGTACATCTACCCAGACTAGCATCAAAACAAAGTTTATCAAAGAAGGTTATTGTGGGATGACAAATCGTTTTTGAACGCGTGAAGCATCGTTTCAACTACAGGCGACAGAACCGATGAAGATGTCGAAGTGAGAATCGGAAAGTCAAGATACGCCTTCATCAACCTGAAACCAGTTTGCAAATCCTCTGCACTCAGCCAGCATAAAGAACAAGATTCGGATTTTCAACACAAATGTGAAGTCGGTCCTTCTATACGGGTCAGAAACTTGCACTGCCTGTCACGAAAAGCATTTCCAACTGACCGCTTCAGACTTCCATCAACAGCTGTCTTCGCTGACTCCATACTGAAGATTAAATGACCGACAGACCGGTCAGAAAGAATTAGCAACAAGAAACTCTGGTTGGGAACAAACCAACAGGCGAGAGCCGATTGCTCAACAAATATGTAGGAGAAAATGGAGATGGGTCGGGCATACGTTGAGGAGGCCGTCGAATGACATGGGTCATCAGTGCCAGGGTGACATGGAGGAGATCGTGTGTTGGGGAGAGAGGAGGAGATGAGAAATTATGCTTAATTGTGGGGATAGCCAGCTGAATAGGATATCAGAGAAAAGAACAAAGTGGCAATGTGTTGTTAAAGCCCTATGTTCTACTCGGAACCCAAGTGAACAATAATATTAATCATAATTGCTAGGGTTACCACAAACTTTAGGATACACCCCAAACACGTTTTATAGATAGGTTTAAAAGATGTGTAAACAACAATTTTATGCCCTATCTCTGTAATCTGTTTTATAATATTTCCTTCGCATTTCACTTATCCACCAGGCACCAATGGATTCTCGTTGTTCTCCTACCAATCATAAATATGCCACTCGGCCTATATCAGAACCGATAAGAGGATCAAATGATTATGGAAGTTAGTTGCATTTCATTGTTGATAATCACATTCATTTCATTTAAAAAATTCAATTCAACTTCCCTTATTTTGCATAAATTTATCGCTCGAATGAAGCTAGAAGTCGACACTTTGTTTTCTTCTCAATTACTTTCATCCACCATTTTACGCCTTATGTATTATTTTTATTTTGTTCCTTTTTGTCTTGAGTGAAACATTCGGCTTCAAGCTAGAGCTAGAAGTGGAATTCATGATGAGCCTTTCGTCCTCTTTGGGCTCATCTTCTGTATGTACCTGCAGTGACTGACGATGTTCCCACCGAGACTCGAACTCAGTGGCCATAGTTTTAAACGCCAAAGCGTTATCCACTACACCATTTGGGCCACGCATCCTAGATTCCACTGCTAGTCACCATCCACCATTTAACTTCTAATTACATACCCAGACATCGTCGAAGCATCTGTACAAGAAGCCGACATATCAACCTGAGACTGAACACTTCGGTCCAATCAATCGACGGGAAAATCTAAAATTGAATTAAATAAAATACTTATAATTTGAAACTGATGCAACTAGAAAAATTGGAACGTGATTGATTATCTGTGGAAAATATCCTTCAAAAAGATAAACCTCTCTCTAGGCGGAGAACTGACAAATGACACATCTCTACATGCTGTCAATTAAATTTCCATGTCTTCACCTTACTCTTCACACTAGTCTTGTTTAAACCAAGTTACTTTCCACAGACAATCAATATTCCTCTCGTATCACTCCCTGGAATAGATTAACAACAGCATTAAAAGTTCCTCTTGACACCTAACTCGACACGTGACTTCGTTATTATTATTATTATATTTTACCAGAAGAGAAGTTTCCTGGAGGTCAAATCATTGAAGGACACTTCGCTGGGATCTCACAACCTCCTGTTTTGGAACCTAAAATATCCTATATGGAACCTGTGATAAGTAATGTCACTCTTGGTACAACTGGAGCTCCACTACGTCAACTTAATTATCAGGCTAATGCTAGACAACAACTGGTTCATCATCCATCAGGTTTTCAGGCTATGACTACTGTTCAAGGTGGGGATGTTGTCTAT